ATATTTATATATATATATATATATATATATATATATATATATATATGACATAACCCCAAAAAAAGCGAATCGAAGTCCATACACATCGGTACGCGTCGCCCCTGAAAACTTGGGAGTGGTGGTTCGGGCCACTCGAGCATCATCTTTCCTGCTTGGATTCGGATTTGGATTCCTTCGGATTGAAGTCTCCAAACAAAAAAGAAAAGGAAAAAAACGTGCCATTTTTCCTTAGCTTGAGGAGAAAGGAAAATTTAGTGGTTTCGTGAGAACGACGGAGGTGTCAAATCAAAGCCAAGTCCAACTTCTCGTTTATCACAATGCATAAATAGACTCGAAGCACCCAACAAAGTCATCGGATGAAAGAAGAATCCGAGTTGGAACACTTCAGCTTGAAATGTGCCGTTTCTGCAGCAGCTGTAGTCTCGACTTAGAACAAACGCGTTGCAAGAGTCAAAGCGTAGTTGGTGAAGTGGCGAGGAGGTCTTCGTCGTAGCCTATTCGTCTGCTTTGATGCTCGTCTTTCTCGTCATCTTCAATTTTTTTTTATCTTTCTCTTAGTCCTCTTCTTTGTTTCTTCTTTTCCTCTTTCTTCCAGAACGTTTTCCATAATCCAAGAATCAATTATTAGCAAAAATAATTCATTAATATTATATATATATATATATATATTAGACCTCAATTAATACTTTTATCCACCATAAAAATACTTTAAAATATTTTATGAAAACTACAATAATATTATATAACGTTTATCGCAATAATATAATTAAAATTACAATTAAAAATATGGACCAAATATTGTGGAATTCCAATAACTTTATGGAATTCCAACATCAGTCTAGAAAGGACTGGTCAAAATGTCAGGTATTGTATTTGAATTAGAATAAACCCTGAATTAAATGTAACAATTTAAAACTTGTTGTTCATGTAGGAAAAAATATATATATTATATATATTGGTATCATTTGCAATAAACAAATTAAAAGTTAATATAGATTTAAATTCAAGTACACTGTATCACATAAACCTTGAATAAAGATATTTATATTTTTTTATCGAAAATAAAGTTGTATTCTTTTGTACTATTCCATCAAATTTTGAAAGAATAGAACATTTATATTACGACTAATACTTACTTTTGAAGGTTCTTTTTTTCATTAAGCAAAAACTCTTTCCATTCGTCCGTAGAACATTAAATGACTTGCGTCATCAAAGACGGTTTGCTTCTTACGACGTATGCTCACCGTTGGTGGAAGGGGATTAGCGTGATGGGCGGCAAGTCTTGCATGTCTGCTGGTGGTGGCTTTCAAGTCGCCCCAACTTGGGAACGCGAGTGAGGGGATGACCACGGAGTTGCATGTGTTTTATGTGATCAATTCACGTGATCGCACACCCACCACCGTCCACAAAGGCCGAATGGCGAATCCAATCAAATCATTTTCACATCAAATCATAAATATATGTATATATATTGAACCCTCCATAATTTTAAAAATATTTAAAAATCATATTTGGAATGTCAATTTTTTTTTATTGGATGTCAATCTTGAACCCTTAATATTTGGTGAAAAGATATAATATATTATCACTAAACCAATATTTTAGATATATAAATTTAAATTCTAAATTTGATTTCAATCATATGAGAAACAAGCTCTACAAATTTATCGGATAAGATTTTAGATCATCGTCATATTATTATCTTAGATATAAAATTTATTAGATGAAGTTTGAAATCCTCAACTTTTGATGAGTGGCTTTGATCGACTAATATTTTGTGTAAAAAAGATTGTATATAATATTAAATTATAAATCCTCGATAAATGAGTCTGGAATGTCGCTAGTAGACTAATACATTATATATTATGGTATAAATTTATCGACCATATTTTTTATTTTTGATTTTACTATTGCAAATTGATATGCAATAGTAAAATCTATAGTTACAATTGTAATGCAAGTTGTTTGCATTCCTACTACAGCTCAATGCAACATCTTTTGTTTTTCCACAAAGCATGTGACATAGAAGGTGTGTTGATACCAGTCCATCTATTCAAAGCTTTAAAGGATTTGGGAACACTTCAAGCTCTATTTCAATGTGATTCCCATTTTTCTCTCTCTTTCTTTAGTGAAGGTAGATGCATTGGATTCTCTTGGTGTGCTTGGGACAATGAGAACATACATGAGATCATCAAATTGGTTTGTCCCAGCTGAGCTTGTCTTATAAAATGTGAATGGTATTGAGATAAGGACATGCCCCTTTGTGCTACCATATGATCAAGGGAACAGCATGAGAACAGTTTTCAATATGTAATTTTTCAAAAGTCTGTCTGCTGGCTAAGGAATGGCAGCCACAGGTCAGACAATTGATGTGTGAAGATGATGCATCTGTGAATTCTTAGATGCCTTCAGCCCACAAAAGGTCCACCTTTCCTTGACTACTTTCAATAAATACCAACAGATGTTGCTCACTGAGGGCTCCCAAGTCAGATACTGATGACAAAAGATCAACAACAGAATCCAAATCCAGTTGCCAAATTTCCCTGTTTGAAGTGGCTAAAATACAGGTATCAGAGTCAGATCCTCAGAGTCATGAGGTAAATAATAATAATAATAGTATCATGGCAATGACATTTCAATGCCAAAGTCTGCAGCTCATTGAATTAACTCATAATAGTGGGCTCACTAAGATAAGCATGATAGATCACAGAATCAAGAATAGCAGACAAAAGATTGTATACAAGATTGGTTGACAACTTATCTAAATCACGAACAAGCTACAAACTAGTAACTTGACATTCAAAGACATTCCTTCACAACGACCACAAATCACCATTACAAGAAGGCACATCATATTCACCGATGGTCGCTGCTGTATGAACGAAAAACAAATTACTAGGTCTGCTGTACAGATCTACTACACAATTCCAACACTAGTTTACAACGCATTTAGAAGCCCTTCAGTGACTTATTCGACATAGAAAGTAGTACATTTACCTTATAGCACGGACAATCAAGCATACAAAATCCGAGCACTGGAGGGTGTCAAGTCACAGAATTCTGGTGGCACATCAACTTCTTGCCATTGAATGGAAAATTTCTGCTTCTTCATTTTCCCATCAGAATTGCAGTAACCCTTGTTCTCTACTTGCCCAATAGCAACATGAAGACCTCGACCGACAACAACGATCTTCGAACCAACAGAAGTGACAGAGAAAGGTTTGTGGATTCGTTCAGGCATGGACGAACCCTCAACGGTGTCCCATGAATCGGACTCCACATCGTGCACCTTCAACCTCATCCTCTCGTACTCGGATATCACAAACAGATGACCATAGATGACGACACCTGAACCTGTCCAGCCTTCTCGCATCCCAACAGCCATGGGCTCCCAATTGTTGGCTTCTGGGTCATAGACCTGACCTCTCGGGGAGGACAAGAATGGCCACACACAACCTTCGGTCACATAAAGCCGCCCGTTGAGTACAGCAGAATCATACGCGGCCATGTTAATGCCCATGCTCGCCACGGGCTGCCAATTCCCCTTAACAGGATCTAGAACCTCTGCCGAGTCAAGCTCAAACTGGTCTGTACTATATCCTCCAGCGACATAGATTCGGCCATCGATCACTCCACCGGCAAAGAAAGATCTTGCTGCAAGCATTCTACTCATGACCGTCCAACGATTTTTGTATATCTCATACTTCAGTACCAGGTGGAGAGGGCAGTCCATGTCAGAGACCAACCCACCACAGACAAGGAGCGTGCCATCTGGAGGAATTGCAATACAGCCGAATCCACGGGGGCACACGCGCTCCCTGCAGGGCATGGCCGGAATGGTGTGCCAAGACAGGTGGGTGAGGTCCAGGACCTGCCATTGGATCCTCCCAGTGCACCTGTGGAAGGCCAAGGTGAAGAGCCAAGGGTCATGGAAACCGAGAGCCTTCCTCTGGCTAAAGAAGCACTCCTTGTTGGCAAGCAGCTGGTGCCACCGCCGGCAGACAAGTCGGCAGGATACATGGCTGCTGACGGGCAGCCTGAGGAGGCAGTTAAACGCAATGTCATCGGGAAGGCCAGGGATGAGGGCGGTTGACTCCATGGCTGCTGCTGGTTCCACCGATGCTGGAGGAGAATGGTAGGGTGGAGGTGATGGGGTCATGGCCAATCTGAACTTGGGTGACAGTTTCATCTGGGAATCCCCAAGCTTGTGCACAGGGGTTTGATGGGATGAGACCCGAACTCGGCGCATCTTCGCCTATCTATCAAGGACTATTAGGGTTTCGATCAACAACCACAAGCGGTTCTTCCACCGTTCTCTTGATTCTGAGTGCAGAACCAGCCCTTACTCCTCACAATTGCAAAACCCTAATTTCTAGCTTCTCCAAACCTGTTTCAGAAAGTCCAATCAATCTTTTCTTTTCTTTCTCTTCATGAGCCAGTAACCAATTTAAGGTGAACAAACCAGTAGGCAAACGAAAAGAAAAAAATTTCACCACCCTAAATTCTTATGCATGCACAATATTTCTTTCTGCAAGATAACATCTATAAAATACCCCACACCTAAAACTAAATCACAGGGAGGAGATGACCATAGAACAAGAACCATCCTACAAAAGAAACAGTCTCCATCCAAAAGCTCATCCACCAAGAAAGGTACAAATTTT